GATGCACCTGAGTAAGATCTGGGGAGGCAGGGGCCTGTGCGTTTCTTGTATGAAGAGGGAAAGTTTTACTGTGAAAGGAGAAACAGGGAAAGAGATGCCGGGAAATTTCCCGTGAGAACCTGGGACCTGGAACCCGGCGGTGTGGACGCTCCTTGACCTTTCCTGATCTCCGCAGAGGTCCAGTGCTGCACGGGCCCCTTTCCAGATGCTGGCGCACATCACACCTGCGCCTGGGCCGCCAGTTCCGGGGTCGCTGCAGGGGGCTCCACCCTCACCTCCCAGTTGCCATCACTTCACCACGGTTTCCTCATCTGCAATATGGGGGTGACACGGATCTCACAGAACAGCGACCTAAACTAACTGAAATCACTCATTTAAAAAGTTGGGGCTCAGTGTCGCTAATGACATTGGACAGTCTCTCAATAAAAGTCTTTAATGATTAGCAGAGGTGGTTTCATTCTAAGCAAACCTGAACATTTTTTCCTCATCAAAAATGATGAAGTTATTTTCTTTTCATCAAGAATTTACTTCAGCCCTGGCTGGTGTAGCTCAGTGGATTGAGCGCCAAAGGATCGTGGTTCAATTCCCAGTCAGGGTACATGCTGGGTTGCAGGCCAGTTCCCAGCAAGGGACACACAAGAGGCAAGCATACATTGATATTTCTCTCCCTCTCTCCTTCTCTCCCCCTCTAAAGATAAATAAATCTTAAAAAAAAAAAGAATTTAATTCACGGTGAAAAGTAAGTAAATGTAAACACTATCTTTCACTCTGCCACAGTGCCACTAATGAAAATAGTAGTATTCTACAGGTTATTCTGATAACAAAAGTGTTCTCAGAAGAAAAACTACTTGTTAGTGGATTTTAGAAATGACATATGAGTATATCCCTAAGTGGACTTTTGTCCTTAAAAATAAAAATGGCTCTTCTGCTTTTTCATCTCTTTTTTAGCTCTATGCTGAAAACCAACTTATTTTCATGCAAATTAATGAAAACGAAGATGTTTGAACAGGAGGTTGATTACTAACTGTAATGAGCAAAGGTAACAGAAGTAATACATTTCTGAAATGCCAGTTAATTCCCGACAAATAGGAAAGGTTTTATTATAATTTGGAGGGTAGGGGAGTCCATTCCAACGGGACTATTGGGTTTAGAAAACCCCTGGTAAGAAATTTAGCTTCCTTCCTTAGGATGGACATTAACCGCAGCATCAAAACTAGCCGACACAAAGTGTCAGGCAGACAGTGCGGATCGAGTATTTTTCTAGGCTAAGAAAGTGTTACAGTCCATACAGAAGATGCACTTAACATGTTAGACATTACAGATATAATTATGTTGTTCATGTCTCAATATACTCTATTACCAAATACAGAGCTTATATAAAATATGCAGACATTAAAAATCTACTTAACTTTGAATTCTGATCATTAATTACAACAGGAAAATTATAATTATGCATATCACTAGAACTGCATAATTAATGAGAAAAATCCTTTCTAGCCTCTACTGAGTTTTCTTAATTACAAGACCAAGTATCTTTTCTTTTTGATAAAAATTGTGCACCTGTTTATCAGTTGAGTTTGTTTTTATGCCACAGCTCATTACTTGTTTAAACATTTAGTGAAGATTTTTTAAAAAGCCATGAAGTATTGCACAAGTTATCTGAATTTATATGTACACGCATAAAATATATATAAATATCAGTTTTTCTGAGTTACTCTAATTTAAGATCTAACCAGAGGACTGCAATGACTTAATACTGAATTATAAGGCAACACAACAATAAAATCGTAAGCCGTGCGTCATTCCCTTTTGCCAAGTTTAACAAAGTGGACGGAGAGAGAAAAAAGATGGCAACAGGCCCATGTGAGAAACATGCAGACCTGCAACATTTGTTATGAGTTTATTTGAGCCGAACTGACGACAATGGCCTGGAAGCAAAACCAAACTGAGGAAACGTTACAGAAAATGGCACTTGCACCACTGATTTTATACGTTAGAATCAAAGGGGAATACAGAAAGAAGGGATCGCGTGAAATTCAGGGGTGACAGATTGGGGGGGAGGGAGAGCAAAGCAGGGAAGCCCCTGGGACTGGGTAAGAAGTAAAACAGACTTTCACACGGGCGGGTGCGGGAGGGTGGAGGTTAACAATCACCGGATGGACCGCAACAATGGTCTCCCGTGGGAGGCTGCGCCCTGAGGGTGCGGACAAAGGGAATCCTCCCCACGTTCCGAAGGAATGTTATCATAGAGGCAAAAATAGGCTCAGTTAAGGTACAGACTGACCTTTGTCGAGGAGGACAGCGGAGGACTTGACTACCTGCCCCGACCGGTCTCCAGGAGGTCATTTCAGGCCGCCCTGGGGGGTTACTTCCCGCCTTTGGAAGACCCTCCTCGCAGGCCTCCCCTGCGCCGGTGTCAGGTTCACTATGCGATCCGCACATGTAACCGATCACAACATTCTACACGCATGCAGGCAGGACTAGGCCCCAGCTCTTCACACGAGAGGAGTTCAGGAAAAGCGGATATGAAATACGCAGAGTCCCACTTGGCTCCTTCCATTTTTAAGGGCATTTTTCAGACTAAAGTCGTCTAAGAGCCCCTGGGCACCTTAGTGCCCTGGTTTTGGGTCCTGACCAGACCTGAGTCGGGGCCACCCAACTTCCAGGAGCTGCCTCTGCGCGAGCCGAGCTACCCTTCCCCCACCTTGAGCTTAGACCGCGGAAAAGATGACCAGAGGGACAGGCCTCAGGAACCAACGCTGCACCGGCTCCTTCGTTTTGGAAGAAAGGCCGGAAGGGGAGGTCTTCGGTCACTTCTGTCGGAAAACAGATCAAAAACGACCTGGAGAGGGCCAGACCAGCGGGGCACGGCGAGATCCTATTCTGCCAGAGAAGCCCCTGCTCTTGGCAAGACTTGCTTCGGGGCGCGGATGACTTTACTCCTGAGGCCGCCGGCGTCTCCAGAAACCATAGCAGCGCTGCGGGCGGTGGGGGAGGGCTCCCTGGGAAGACTTCCGAAAGCGGCAGATGTTGGGAAGGGCAACCACCGTCTTCCTGCGCCCGGGAGGCTTGTGACCGAGCAGAACCTTCGCCCCGGCCGGCCTCCGACTCCGGGCTGCAGCAGTCCGCACATTAGCAGAGCTCGCCAAGGGCATGGAAACCCGGCGTGCGAGGGGATGGATCCCCACCCGCTCCGGGTGAATGCAACTTGGTGAACTCGGTGATAAACGCACAGAAATTGGTTTCCTATAGAACAAGACCCACTTCTGCGCTGCTCCTACCTGCAGCACTGACTTCCAAGATGCTGCTCAGCTTCCCACTAACATCTGATCAATCTAACGCTTTTCTCTGCATTGAAAAAAATATGCAGTTAAAGGTTCTTTTACCTGGCTTTCCCAGTGCCAGGGCTGCCAGGTGTTAGGAACCATCTCTCCTCCCTTCCTATCCCGACCTCTACCCTCACACATGGACCCCTGCTTCCTCCCCTGTCCACCGTCCCCTCCTCTCCCGCCCCCGCCCAAGTCCCAGGCTCGGTCGCGCCACCCGCGTTCCTTCCTCTTCCTGGGCCACTAGTTCGGCCTTCCTGGACCCGCTTTACGCAGGGGCTCCCAGGACCCGTCGGGGAAGACCTCTTGTGGGCACTGCGAGCACCCCGTGGGGCCCTACATCCCCAAATCTACTCTCCCGCCCTGCCGGGTCCCGTGCACTGGAATCCGGGCGCCCAGGCGCGGCCTCTGGTGCTCAGAGACCCAAAATGACCGAAGGCACGGCGCCACCACGCGTCAGGAGGCCCCGACTCCCACCTGGGGCCGAGGCGCGGCTCCAAGGCCCCTCTCTACGACGACGTGCAGGTGTGTGCACCGGGGCCGCAGAGCGAGCCGCGCCGTCGGGCAGGCGCGGCCGGGGCCCCGCGTCGCCCTCCCGAGCCAAGGTTCTCGGGAACGGGCCGCGGGGAAGACGTTGGCGGGAGGAGTTAGCGGCTGTTGGGAGAACGGGTCCGCGTAAACAGTCCCTTCCAAAGCCCTGGCCAACGCGGGGTGGGCCGCCTTCCTCCCACCCAGGCCGGGGGCGCCGGGCAGCGGGGGCGCAGTGCGGACCGCGACCTCCAGCCGGGCACTCCGGGCAGGGCGGCGCAGGAGCGGGGAGCCGCCGCCCGTTGGCCCCGTTGGGTCTTGAAGGCAGAGCTGGTGGTAGAACTGCTGCCGGGAGCTCGACGGGTGAGCAGGTCGCCATGGTGACGCGGCCCGGGGGCGCGCACGCCGCTGCGGTTGGCATGGGAGCGGCGCCGCGGGACCCGGGAGCACCGCTGATTGGCTGATTCAACAGACGCGGGTGGCGTGGGGAGGAAAATAATTAGCGCTGAGCCCCTAGGCTGCAGCCGCTGGGCGTCCGGCGCCCTCGCCGGAATCTGTCTGCATCGCGTCCCCTCCCGCCCCGCCCCCCCACCCCACCCCGGCTACACCACCTTCCCAATCCGCCCGTCCCCCTGGCCCGTACATTGCACTTGCTAATTGTTCGAGACGTATTTAGAGCAAAGGCGGAGAGGAGCGACGCCCGAGGTGGGGCCTTCGGTCTGGAGAACGACCCCCGCTTGTTTCTTGGGAAGGGGACGTTCTTTCCCGCAGTGAAGTATCCGCGGTCTTTCGCTTGCGGGCCGGGCGGGGGGCTAGCCTTGCAGCGGAGAAAGTCTAGGACTGTAGGTCTGGACCCCCAAGAAAAGTGGGGCCCTGGTATCCTGGTTTGGAGGTTCGTCAGGCTGCCCGCGCCTTCCGGCCTCCACCAGGTCTCGGAAGAAAGCCTGGGCCGACTCAAGTCGCTGTTTTAGAGCGAAGCAGCATCGATCGCTGGCGCCCCTAGGCCCAGGCCGTTTTGGCCCTAATAATTGCCGGGAAGATCACGTGTCTGAGTGCGCTCCCTCCTGGAGACAGGCCAACTCCTGGGAGCCTCGGGTGGAAGGGGTTGGATCACCGACCTGTGTGTTTCTCCTTCCCTGCCGACGGCAGCCAGTCGAGGCCTAGGCGATGCATCTTAGCAGCTCCAAGAGCGGAGTAGTCCTGGCTCCGGTGTCCCGAGGTCCCGATGCTTGTCAGATGGCGACCAGAGCCCAGCTCGGCCAGGACGCCCCACAAAGAACAGTGCTAGGGGTGCTAACCGAGAATGTGCAGTACCGGAGCGTCCAGGTAATGGCGCAGCAGCGCTGGGAAGCTGCTGGCGGGGAAGGGCTGTCCTGTCGCGGCGGGGAAATGGGCTTCGCTTGCAATTCCACCTACAAACTCCCCTGCAGAATTCCAGCCCTGGGGTCGGGATTGTTGGGACACAGCAGTTTCGAGCTAGAAATAGCGAATACTTTTCCCTCCCAAAACAGGTTTAGGAACAGTTTGGATGAGGCTAAAAGGAAATGAGAATGCCCCCAAATAAACTATAGAACCGGGGTTACTCCAGGTCAGAGCCTGTGCAGACCGCTCCAAAGCCATCCTGGACAGCCCTCGAGGATGGGAGAGCTCCCATCCGGATTGGATCAGGCTAGACTAGATTATTTCCCAACGTGATTTGAAAGCAGACATCTCCCCACTACTGACACAGGGCAGCTGGGCAAACAGATGACTGGCCATTAGATATTGCTTAACTGATCCCTTAACAGGTTGAAATTAAATTCAGTCATTGAAATGCAGATGAGGAGTCTGGATGCCTCAGAATGGATTTTGAGGTTTAAAAAAAAAAGCTTCCCCAAGCCTATTATCAGACAAACTCCTGATAACAGTGCTTTTAAAAGCCCGTATTGCACATTTGTAGTGGAACAAAGCTGGTAATAGTCCAGCGAAGCAGGCAGGCTGGGTCTCCTTGCCGTTTCATAGGTGAGGAAATTTAAGAGGGTTAAGAAAGGCCAAGGAGGTGGGGGTGCCAGGAGATACTGGAGGAGGGTGGATTAGAAAGCCCCTCATCCTCTCACCTGGCCCCTTGAGCCTTTTTGTGGCATCTGATTAAATGGGAGAAAAATACCCAGTGTCCTGTGGAAAGCTTTGGAAAAAATGGAGTAAAGTTGTTTTGAACAATTGTCGTTTGTGGAGCAACAAATGCGTGCACTTCTTTAAGCCTGGTTCATAGGAGCTGGCCTGGCCGCTGGGCCTTCGCTGACGGGTCTAACCTCCCCGCTGTTCCCCTGGCTCCTCCACAACCATCATAGAGATCTGCCTTACACCCCTGCCTCTCTCCTCGATCCACCTCCATCCTCACTCTTGGTTAGAGGCTTTGCGTCCTAATTTCCTAAAAATATAAAAGCACCCGGAGGAGAATGTCCATATGTTCCCAGGTGCCACACACTCCCCATGCCCACCGTGCTGTGCGACCCAGGTTCCTGCTCTTATGGGAGGTGAGCCCCTCCTGATGCGAACACCTTACACTCTCTGCCTCTTCAGGGACATTAATCCAACCCCTTTTTTTTCTCTCTCCCCAGTTGTCTCTTCTTTACTGGGTCAGACCCGTAAGTGTACAAATACAATTTTTTCATCTTAAAAATCTTTCAACTGCAAAGCTCTCTGCCGTGTCTGTCTCTTTATAGCACGATTTCTCCAGACTAAGTTTGTCCCACTAGATCGTAAGGGCCACCAGGATGAAGATTTGGGGTGCCAGGGTCACTGCCCAGCTCCCGGGGCTTTGACCGGCGGCTGGCCAGGGGCACATGCTCCTGTTTGTCGCACGAATGTTCCCTGTCTCTAGTTCTTCTCCTGTTCACTTTTGACTCAACGGAGCCTTTTTTATTTCCAAAACCAATTTTCCTCTCACTCAGCCTGCAGCACACCACTCTGTCCGGGCTTCCTGCCCACACACCCCCACCCCCACCCCCGTGCCCCAGCCCCCTGGCCACCCCTGCTGACCATCCAGTTCTGCCTTAGCTAACCTCCGAAGTGTGAGCACTCCAGGGCTTGGCATTTGATCTGAGCCTGCACTGCCTCCCTCTGCAATTGCTTCAAGGCTCTGAGTGTGAATTGCCACCCATCTGCAGCTGGCTCACACTCTCATCTCCTGTCGGGGCCACTTGGCTCTCTCGCACACACGCACACACTCCGCATCCTACGTGACAGCTCGCTGGGATCCTCGGCTCTTGCACATGGCATCTCCAACTCGTGCAAAGCCCGCCCCAGCCCCAGCCTGCCCTTCCCAGATCCTCTCCTCTCAGGGAGCGTCCATCCTTCCTGTTATTCAGCCCAAAAGGCTCCGTCATCCTCAAGGCTCCTTTTCCTCCCACCACTCATCTACTTTGCTGGAAAAATACTGCCGGCTCTGCTTTGTAAAATGTCTAGAATGTGTTCCCTCTCCATCCTTCCTAACGCTGCACTGGTGCAAAGCCCGTTGTATCCTATGTGGACTTTGCAAGCGGCACCGCCTCATCATACTCGTCTTACTGGCTGCAAGATCTGGCTTCTCCTCTGTTTCTGACTTCATGACTGACTCTGAGCCCTGTCTCATTCTGCGCCATCTGCTCCCTGCTGGGCTCAAAGGCACACTCCCACATCAGGGCGCTCGCCCACGCTTTCCCTCACCCCCCACGCCCTCGCTCCTCTGTCTGCGGCCTCCCTCCCTTGGCTCGTTCACACCTCTGTCTTCCTCGCCCTGGCCACGCCGTTTAAAGTGGCGATGGCTGTCTCTTCCCGGCACTGTTCTTCCCCGAGGCACTTCTCACTCTCTGACCTGCTGGGTCTTTTCTTATTTGTCTGTTCTTCGTCCCCCTGTGACTAGGATAGAAGCGCTATCAGGGCAGTTCTTTTGGGACGTTTCATTCACTGCAAACCTCTGGACACCTGGAGTGATATCTGGCACCTGGTGGATGCTCAGTAAATGTGTAAGGAACGAACGTCTCCACCCACGTACACATTCCAATGCAGCAAAAGGCAGCCTTGGTAGTAAGTTGGAGTTAGGATTATCTGGTCCTAATAGCATGTGATTTTGGTCCTGTATGGTCCCTGTGATGTTTCCAGTGCCACCATGAAGAATTATTTTCTTACCAGAGTAGACACAAGCCACGTATTTAACTCGCTGCTGGGCAGGAAAAGTTGTAGGAACACATAATCCAGGAGGAGTCTCAACAGCAGACACGAAGATTAGTTACGAACGATGAAGCGTGAACACAGGAGCTAGACCCGGCGTTGGCACACCTGTTGCACGGATTCGTGGAGCTCACACTCCTGCCCGGGCTCCGCTGTCCCTCAGCCCCTCCCACATGCCTCACGCCAGCACGCACAGTGTGTGTGTGTGTGTGTGCACATGTGTGTGAGATACATCATGCTGGTTCCCACAGGGGCACACACACTGGTTTCCATCGCTAAAGTGACAGGAGTAACACAACGGGAGAGGTGATCAGTACCTGGACAGGGTTAGATTTCCCAGGGGTCGCGGCATCCTGTCACACAGACAGACGCTGTGTTGAGAGACTGAGGTTGTCTGAGTCTCTAAAATCGCCCTGTTTCTCAACAACTGGGGGTGCACCGGGAACTTGATGGGGCGCCAACCGAGGGGGCGCCGCGTGAGGAGGAGGACTGCGGGGTCGCAGCCGAGTGTCCGGGCCCAGCCGGGGGGCACTCACGGAGCCCCGCAGCCGTGTGAGCACCAAGCCCACTCCGGCCCCTCCCGGGTGGTGCCTGTGTCATCGTGGAGAGGAGTTAGGGCGTCTTTTTCCTCTGGCCGTGAGTCCCCTTTGATAAAAATGGGAGGAAGATGACAGATTGTAGATGGCTCTCCTCCCAGACGTCCAGCGTAGACAAGACAGTGGAGAAGGCAGCCCGGGGAGCCTCACCGTCTGACACTGCGTGGCAGACGGGGACCTTCCCATCTGGGGTTCCTCTCGGCTTCCCAGCCTGCTCGGTCTGAGTCACGCGGGATCGCGCCGCCTGCTGGTCTCCGGGGTGAGGGGCCCCCAGCCAGAAACGCAATCCCTTTCTAGGGGATCCCCACGGCGAGGTACTTCTCGGGGTCGGAAAATGCCTTCCCTGCAGCCGTGCTGAAAGCGCAGTCCGCCTGCGGGGCCCACGTGGCGGCCAGGCAGGGACTGGATGTCCACATGGCGGAGCCGGAGCCGGAGGACGGACCCAGCTGCACGGGGAGTGATGGGGTGGCCTTTGGGGACGCGTACGAAGTGGACACCAGCACACTGAAGTCAGACCTGCACTTCCTGCTGGACTTCAGCACAGGTAAGCTGACTGCCTGTGGCGGGTGGGCGGGTGGGTGGCAGGTCCCCTGCGTCCAGCATCGCCCACAGCGTTCAGTTGCACGGTACCAGCCGGGGAGCCGTACTGGTTCTCACGATGGCCTGCGGGGGCCAGTGGCGGGCCAAGGCTTCCGATGAGCTGCCTCACCGAGAACGTCGCCCCCCCTGCAGTGTCCCCCATGCTGGTGGACGCAGCTCTCCATCCCCAGTCTGAAGTAGTGTCCGACTGGGGCACCGACGTGATCAGCGTGACGGAGTATGTGGAAGAAATTCACCAGTATCTCAGGGAGGCTGAAGTAAGTGCTCCCAAGTCCTGCCTCCGTTTCCGGCAGCCCAGCACTTAGTAGGGAGACGGCTGCCAACCGCCACCCGCGCAGGGAAGGCATTCTTGGGGCGGGTCCACATACGAGCGTCTCTGACGATGCTAGTGGGCAGGTGAGCAGCAGACGCTCATGGGTTTGTGCATTTGGGGCCATCCGTGCCGCCGCCGCCCCCGCCCCCGTTGGGCTATTCATCTGCCAGCACATATTCCAGAACCAGCAGCTCATACTGTCCTCTGTGTCCTCACCAAGATGTACTTGGCTCTTGGTCCATTAGTTAGTTCCCTGCTGGCCTCTGCCCCCGAGATGTTAAAATAGCAGGTGTCCTGTGACGTGTGACCCTCCCACTGGAGCCACGGTGTGTGAGCTCAGAAACGCCCTCCCCACGCAGACGCGGCGCCGGCCCAAGGCGCACTACCTGCGGAAGCAGCCGGACATCACGGACGGCATGCGCCGGATCCTGGTCGACTGGCTGGTGGAGGTGGCCGAGGAGTACCGGCTGCGGGCCGAGACCCTCTACCTGGCCGTCAACTTCCTGGACCGCTTCCTCTCGTGCATGTCTGTCCTGAGAGGAAAACTGCAGCTTGTGGGGACAGCGGCCATCCTCCTGGCCTCGTGAGTAATCCGCAGCCTGGGCGACGTGAGGTTCCGGCCTGCCCGCGCGGGGTTCACGCTCCGTTCGCTGAAGACAGGCAGGGCTTTGCCAGGCGGACCCAGTCGTGCGTCTTTGACAGACTGTCACAACTTCACGGTGTTTACTGGGAAACAGTCCCACCACACGCTCGCTCTTCAGTCAGACGCTTCTGATGTGTAGTGACAAGTGCAGTTCCGTGACTGCGGCGGCCATCGGCCGTCACTCGGGGTTTGTGCGGTTGCAGTGAACACCTGCTCCAGCTCGTTCCTGTCACGACCGGGCATCGGGAACGGTGTGGGGAGGGCTGGGCGGTGACGAGATCCTTTTGAGTAGGTGGCCTGCTGGTGACAGTTTCCTTCCTATTCTGGCCTCAGATATTCTAGTTATCAACTTACCTAAAAATGTGCCAAGATTTCCCTACAGAAAGGGGAAATAAAGGCACAAGCAAAGAATTGGTAACTGTGAAATTTTATCATTGTCATTCTCATGGATATACAGCATCATTTGCTAATGCAGTAGAGAAAGCTAATCATAATTTTTTTTTAATCTGAGACTTAAGGAATTTTTTTTCTGCCACATGTTCAACACAACATTCTTTCCCACCCGAGGGTTTGAATTAGGAGTTCACACATGTGTCTGTCATGTGGAATCTTCTGGTGTGGCAGGGCCAGACCTAAAATTCCTAGTTGGAAGGTGTTTTCGTCACCACTCCTAGCAGGCGGTACAATATATGTTGGTAGCACGCATGTCCTTGTTCCGGAACCAAGTTCCTGATGCCCGTTAGTGATTCCCCACGTGAGAGGCGAGGTGAGGGGGTGATGGCGTGGGAGGGGCCGCGGGCCCCCAGCGTCACTGGCTCAGGCTCTTGGCCTTTTTTCCCCAGGAAGTACGAGGAGATCTACCCGCCCGAGGTGGACGAGTTCGTCTACATCACAGACGACACCTACACGAAGCGGCAGCTGCTGAGGATGGAGCACCTGCTGCTGAAGGTGCTGGCCTTCGACCTGACGGTGCCCACCACCCACCAGTTCCTCCTGCAGTACCTGAGGTGCCAGGGGGTGTGCGTCAGGACCGAGAACCTGGCCAAGGTGCGCCGCACGGGTCAGCCAAGAGCGTGGGCACCGTGTCGGGGTCGGGGGGGGGGGCCTTTCCAGTCATCCTTCCGTTCTTCCTGCCTTTTCAGGGGGGTTTGGTTTTGTCTTGGGCCCAGCAAACATCTTCTTTTTTTTTTCTTTTTAGATTTGTTTATTTTTAGAGAGAAGGAAGGGAGGGAGAAAGAGGGAGAGAAACATCAGTGTGTGGTTGCCTCCCATGTGGCCCCCCACTGGGGACCTGGCCCCCAACCCAGGCATGTGCCCTGACTGGGAATCGAACTGGTGACCCCTTGGTTCACAGCTCGAGCTCAATCCACTGAGCTACAGCAGCCAGGGCCCAGCAAAACTTCTCGGTAATGGAAGAGACCTAATTGTACGAACATGACTTCTGGTTACACGGTGTTCCTGTCAATCACGTTTGGCAGTCACGGCTGTGTACTCCCTGAACTCTGAAAGAGGCTTAAGCTTGGAACCTGTGCCCTTGTTGGGTACAGACCACAGGCAAGCCACACCTCTCAGGTGTGCAGAGGAGGGACAGAGTAGATGGGTTTGATTGGGCTCTGATCCCTCTGACACACGGAGTGAGGAAGCACGAGGCGGTCACCAGCGTTACAGGACTTCGCCGCAGGCACTACAGTGTGGCTTGGGCGAACTCGGCTCCGGCCGCCTCGCTGTAGCCTGTTGGGAGTTTCTGTGCTGCGCCAACAGTAATCGGGAAGCCCGTCTACATTTCCCAGTGTGTCTCTTCTGACCTGATGCGGCCCGACTGGTGCTGTTCTCGCCTCTGAGCTGCGTCTTGTGGCCTGGTGAACGAATAGCCCCAATATGGCCCTGCTTTGCCTTTGCCTGGCGTCCGTCGCCCCACCCCAGTGGCCAGAGCACTGCACCTTGACCTGGCCCACCTACGCCCACACTGCCGGTGTGAGATACACAGCCCGTCCACACGCCGTGTGCTCGGGCCAAGTACGTGTGCGCTGAAATCTGTGACAACGTGAGTGTTGTTCGGCTGTGGGCAGCCTGGCAGTCACCGACCTAGTGAGCAACCGTGCGTGTCAAATGCGCACGCAGCTGATGCGGGTGGAACTCAGACGAGACAGTTTGCCCCCCCAGCATTTCTCAGTCGCCTCGTAGCCTCGGCCCAGTCCCCCCCACCCCAAGTACGGCTCTTCCCTCCTGTCTTTAGTACGTGGCGGAGCTGAGTCTGCTCGAAGCTGACCCGTTCCTGAAGTACCTGCCTTCCTTGATAGCCGCGGCCGCGTACTGCCTGGCAAACTACACCGTCAACAAGCACTTCTGGGTGAGGCTCCCCCGGCATTGCTCTAGATGAAGTTCAAGGCCTCTGTAAAGCCCACCGGGTGCCGCCCAGGGCTTAGGATGATGGCCTGACCCTGTGGGTCCCACCGGCTGGTGTGGCCTGGATGAGCGCACCCATGGGCCGGTGGCTCACTCTGCACTGAGGGGAGGCTGCGGGGAGTCGGGGAGGAGGCCCGTGGGTGCGGGGCTGTGGCAGAAGCAGTGCCCACGTCACGGGGAAGCTGCTGACGTTTCCCAAAAAGTGGTGGACAGCCCAGCTCCCGGCAGGGTGGTCGGAGGGTCGGGTCCTGAGGGGAAAGAATCCCGTGGCCCAGGATGGTGGCAGGATCGGGCCCTCGATTCGGTTCTGAAGGTTGTCTTTTGTGCCGAAAGAAGTGGGGGGCCTGCTTTTATTTTCTAGAATACTGTCTCTTCTTCTGACTTCGGCAAAGAATCCTCCGGATTCTGTGTAAACGGCGGTCCGCTCAGCACACTGCAAGAGCGCGGTGTGAGCGCCTTTAGAACTCTGGCTGCCCTTTCTAATGTTTCGTGTCTAACCTGTCCGAAGAAGGGTTACAGTTCTTTTGGACCTAAGTGTGGACAGTAAGGGGTTGATCTCTTTATTTCAGCGCTTTATCTTCAGATTCCTTACGCCTTGGAGAGTTACATGATGCAGTTTTGTTCTTTTGTCTTTGTTAGCCAGAAGCCCTTGCTGCGTTCACGGGCTACTCGCTGGGCGAGATCGGGCCGTGCCTGAGGGAGCTGCACAGGGCCTGCCTCGACGCGCCGCGCTGGCCTCAGCAAGCCGTCCGGGAGAAGTACAAGGCCTCGAAGTGAGCGCCAGGAGTGTCCTTACCGGGCTCACTAGTTACAGCTTTAATGGGACATGGCAATGTCAGAGTCAAAAACAGAACAAACCGTATCCAGTGCTAGGCTGGAAAAGCAAGGCTATAAGATCAACAAAACCAGTTTGGAGAGACCCAGCTTGATAATTTGTCAGCTTCCAGTACACACAGTCAGCTACCCTCCTTTCTTTTTCTTTCTTCCTTTCTTTCTTCCTTTCTTTCTTTCTTTCTTTCTTTCTTTCTTTCTTTCTTTCTTCTTTTTTTTTTTAAAAAGATTTATTTATATTTAGAGGGGAAGGGAGGGAGAGGAACATCAATGTGTGGTTGCCTCTCACACGCCCCCTACTGGGGAACCAGCACACAACCCAGGCATGTGCCCTGACTGGGAATCGAACCAGTGACCCTTTGGTTCCCAGATCAGCACTCTGTCCACTGAGCCACCCCAGCCAGGGCTCCTTTCCTTCTGTTGAGTTTTCTAGAAAGTTTTCTGTGGCCTCACCTGGCCTTTAGGAAACTGGAGTCTGGGGTCTGTGCTCAGCTGGCCTGGTCTCGTTCCAGGTACCTGCACGTGTCCCTCCTGGAGCCGCCGGCGGTCCTCCCTCTGCAGTGAGTCTCGGGGCCGTAGCGCCTGCGGAACGAAGCCCCCGATCAGCGGATCAGCCCTGGTTTTTGTAGGCTTCTGCAGGTTGGATCAACTGGTGTCGCTTTCATAGAGATGACCTATTTTTTAAAGATGTAAATGCATTTAGGTTCTCTTAGATTTAGTAGCTTGTAAAATAGTCTAACACTTTTAAAAGAATAAACAACTTGCCTTCTGGCCACATTAGGCTTGTTCACTGAGTACCATGGTGACACCCTCACCTGAATCTGAGCTGAGAGTATGATAATGTCCTCTCTGTTGTACGCTTTCTCCTTTGTTGCTTTTATGAGACTGACGCGCTGCCAACTGCGCTGAGAGGGCACCTTTCTCCTACGTTGCTTTTAAAACCCTGGCACGCTCTTCGGGTTAGGTTTTCCGTGGCCCCGGAGATGGTCCTGTTTGGTGAATGGCCGACCTGAGACATTTTTGTGCGGGGGGGCCCCCTGCACGTTGCTCTCCCTGATTGGGCAGAGGAAGGCCTGGATTGGACAGATGAGTGAAGGGGTGTGAGCAGGCCCCGCGGGCCCCGCCCCCTCCGCGGACTCGGGGAGGGCTGCCTGCTCCCAGGGCCCTCCGAGGGCCAGCGCCCCTTCTGCGTGCCCCAGGGACGGGGTGCGCATCTCCCAAAGGGCCACAGTGGTGTCAGCACTCTGAGTTTTTTAAATTTTATTTTGTTTTTCGTTTTCGGTGCTCGGGTTTTTTCCCAATGTTCATTTTTTATTTAGTCACCCATCAAGCCTACATTTCAGTCTTAGGAGATGCTCAGAGAAGTAGAAAGCGCCGATGTCTCCTTGGGAGCGGGCTTCAGCACAATTAAGCTAAGCCCCCCCCGCCCCCCCCCCCCTTTGTATCTTGGGAGGTCCTGGTGCTGAAGCCTTGGACGGCGCATTGGCGTTCGCCTTCCTCTGCTCGCCCCGCTGCACACGCTCCTGCGCCCTTCCCTCAGTGCAGAGCGCCCTGCAGGGGATGGACGGGGAATTGGAATCACAAACAAACAAAGACTGGAGAGAAAATCAGGAACAGACTTGGCCTTATGGGAAGGCGGTGCTCGTTGGGAACGGAATATAAATTCTGTCAATCTCAGGACTGGCAGCCCTCGGCCAGCCCTCCCCCACCCCACCTCAGCCTGCACCTGTGCGCAGTCAAGGACACACGGAGGGCGAGACCCACGGAGGTCTGGGTAGCGCGGGAGGAGATGAAATTAACTCCAAATTTTATGGTCGTTTCAAGTTCCAGTGAAATTACAAATATAGAAGCATATTTGGCCATATATTACATATTTTGTGAAGATTTTTTTTAAAGTGCCCACAGGCTTTTAAAAGGGCTTAGCGTTGCCCTCCCTCCCAACCCCCTGCAGGTTAACTCGGTCTGGGAGTCTCCATTTCCGGTTCCGCTGAGCGAATCAGCATTTCCCCCACGTGTGTGTTGTTGCCCGAGAGTCACACGGCAGACGCGGGCCTGCCAGGGCGCCGAGCGTTTTTCTGTTACGTGATCAGTGGCTTGTGATCCGACCTTGTAACTCAGGACTGGGCGTGTTTCTGTTCATCGCACCTACACTCATGCTCACCTGTCCAACTTTGCCCCTGGCCACATAACAGACACACTGTATACTCACCACTGAGTGGCCCCCTCCGAGGGGACAGTGGTTGAGGGCAGTTCTCACTGGGACTTCGGTGGTAGAAGTGCTGTGTCTGTCCCTTTCAAGCTTCAGAGGTTTGAGGGACTGGCCAGGGAAGCTTGCCCCCTCTGCCCCTTTACCGCGGCCGCCCTCCTCCCTGTGAGCCGCACCGTCTCCAACAGTGGAGGTTTGGTGAAGACACAACGCATCTTCCGCCGGTGACAGTCTTGTTACAGAATGTTTGCTCCAGGTACAAGGAACCTTGTAGAAATGGACACTTCACTCTGAATCGCTTTACAAAGGAAGGAGGCTTTCTATCTCTAAACCCCAATCCAAAGTGTTACCTTGACAGTAGGTCCCAAAACCACGCGACAGTTGTCCCTTGGCATCTGCAGGAGGTTGGCTCCAGGCCCCCGTGGCTACCTGGACCCGCAGGTGGGTGCTCAAGCCCCATGTGGAAAATGGCGCAGGATGGGAGTGGAGCCTGTGTGTGCGCCGGGGCTGCAGGAGGGGCCGCCACACACCACTTCACCGTGTAAATCCAGCTTAGTGCTTGGCCGGTGGCACACTCAGATCTCACGTTTGGGAAATTTCTGGGATTTTTTTCCAAATATTTTTGATCCACAGTTGGTTGAATTTGCAGATGCAAAACCCGCAGACACCGAGGTCGGGTGTACCAGATACAGGGGTCTGAACCCGTACCTCACGCTCTTTGCTGCCAGTGGTTTGCACGCACCCCAACCCCACCACCCAGCACACACCCCCACTGCCTGCCGAGAGCTGGGCCTTGGCTTTGGCTTCCTTTCCTTACCACTCTGTTTGTGTCACCGCCAAACTTGACTTAGAAATGTAACTCACCTCTGCTTCCCCACCAACTCAAGGGAGAATAGCGGCCCTCATGTGTCTCCTTTCCTCCCTGTCTGTGGTGTTGGTCGTGCGTGGTTTTTGTGCTTCGCGTGTCCATAAACAGTAACTGTTACTAAAGTGTACTGGGTGTTGACTCTCAGCCCTCAGTGCACTCTGGGATAAGTAGCGCCCCCGTTATTTACACTGACGTGCGGTTTGAAGGAATGTACCACGTTCACCGGTTTTCTTGATTTTTCACACCTCTCCACACCCCCCCTGCCCACAGCGTGCCAGCCAGGAAAGGAAGCTGCTCCGGACTGGGCCGTGGGCATGGGAGTGCCCCGTCCGTCTGCCCCTGTGGTCCCTTGGCCCTGTGGCATCAGACAGAGTCGGGCCTCTCTGGGGGAGTCACAGCTGGCCATGAATCCAGGGGCCCGTGTTGAGGTGGCCGAGAGAAAGGACTACGGGGACAGCATTTGCTCAGCGGCTACCAGGAGCCCAGGAAGGAGCGCAGAGTGTCCGAACCGTCCTGTCGTTTCTGCCGTCACATCTCGGCAGGTGTCCCCACCAGGGAGTGAGCCTGTCTAGCCCCGTTCACCCCCCAGGACCTTCCGAGCGGAGCCCGTGTGACCGCACAGACAAACGTGCCTTTGCCTGCGCTCCCCTCAGGTCCCATCCCCATGTCCTGACTGGAGGACGGGGACACCCCTGGGCCCACGGCACCACGCAAGGACCCTGCAAAATTCAGGGTCCCCCGTTATGAGTTTTTTATAAGATTTTATTTATTTTTAGAAAGAGGAAGGGGGAGGAAAGAGAGGGAGAGAAACTGATTGGTTGCCCCTCACACGTTCCTAACCAGGGACCCACAACCCAGTCGTGTGCCCTGACTGGGAACTGAACCAGGGACTTTCAGTCTGCAGAATGATGCCCAGGCCGCTGAGCCACGCAGCTCAGGGCCCCCACTCTGGTTTGTCCCTTCAGGGAGGACCTCCTCTTAGTCCCATGGGTGTATGCAAACTTATTTTAGCAGTAAGTGGTTTATCCCTGATGTATCTCTTCTTGGTGATCACTGGACTTAAGGGTATCCTCTAAAAAGGGAATGGCTTTTTGGGGTGGGTTTTTTATCTTTATGGGCACTTTAATCAGATGGCCAGCAATCTAAGATGGCGGGTTTGTACCCTTAACAGACTGTGTTAAATTCCATTTTTAAATGGCCCTTTTTATAAGGAGAACAAAGTGCAGGTCAGGGCTTTGGAATTCAGGGGAAAGGTAATAGGATTTAAAAACTTGCAGCATCCTCACCCTGGAGGGTGGTCTCTATCTGTGTCCTGGGCGGTGGGCATCTCGCCCAGGAGCACAGTGGCTCAGACACCAGCGTGATGGCTTGCCGTCCTCCTGGGGCACGGAGGTGGGACTGCTGGTGGTGTCCCAGAGCCAGGGCGGGTCACACCTTCAGTTTCGGGAACAATAGCTTTCACGGGCATTGATTCCTAAGCTTATTGGCCATTACCTACAGTAAAATTTTCCAACTTTGAGTCACATGCACTCATTTCGCAGTTGAGCACGTACTGAGCATTAGACCGTCTGGGGGGGGGGGCTCAGAAACACATTTAGTGCAGATCCACGTAGGGGGCACCTGAATGGCATTCCTTTCATTGCACAGACAGCTGCCCCGTACTCGAGCCTAAGCAGACAACGGAGCCGCCACCTCTTTGTCCAGCTCGTGGCTCTGTGGCTCAGAACATGTTAGGACACTCGTGTCCCCATGGTGCAAGCCTGGATTCTGCAACCACCAGCTACCGAAGCTGCACACAGAGCCCGTTGTTTCTATGAGCAGGTGATGCTGGTGCTGCAGACTCGGGAGTAATGGGAAGATGCTGTCGGGGTGCCCGCCGCAGCCCCAGCCTCAGGTGTGTGCACGTCTGAGACAGGTCTGTACACGCCTGCAGCAGGTGCAGAGCGGGGCACTCGGGGGCGACCTGGGTTTGGCTCAGCTCAGCCCGACCGAACGCGAGTTTTCTCTCCTCGCTTTAGTCTTCAGCAAAAGAGACTGTCACCCAGATACCGCCCTGTGGAGGTGCCGCCTCACTGTCCAGAGTCCTGTTTGGAACAGAGTCATCCAAAATGCACCCTCTGCAGTTTCAGTGGCTCAGCCACTCATCTCCTGGGGGACCTGAAACCGGGAGGCAAACACAGGGAAGAGCCAGAACTGCCTTAAAGAAAGACCATCTGGAGACCAGGGGCCCAGGTCCAACTTGGCTGGGAACAGAGCGAGACTCGTATGTTCCAGGAAGCTGCTTGCTTCGACCACCGCCCCGAACCTCTAGTTCATTGCCTTGAAGAAGTCTCTCTCCTGTCGCCCCCAGGGCGGGTTAGAGAAGGGAGCCTTTGTGTCGCAGACCCCCGCTTCCCTAGGAGACCCCACTGGATTCCTGTCCCCAGCAGGTGAGGAAAGAGAAGGGACACGGAGAAGACGCACCCGCTGGCACTTCAGGGGCCAGAAGTGTGGTCTGGCCGGAAGCTCTGGGAGCAGAGGGCAACTCGGTGTGGACAGACAGACAGCCTCTGCCAGCGGGCACCTCGGCGCCCCCCACCTCAGCCTCATCGTGAGTTAGGACTTTGCAGTTTTG